ATTTACTCACAAAAGCACTAGTACAGGATAGGCATTAGAAGTTAACAAAGGCACTAGGATTAATAGCTTTTGACTAATAGCAAAGTAAGAGTATTAAAGTAAGTAAGTATTACCTTAAATAAGTTGCTAATGGTCAAAGGACAACAAAAAAGTGAAGAAAAATAATTAAGGTGGTAGTTAGGTTAAAAAAGAATCTAAGATTTAGTTGGATGAAGTAAAAATGGATGTAATATCAAGAAGATGGAAGTTGTCTCATTGGCTAGCAACCACCACCTATAAGTAAAGGGTGTTGGAGGTAGGAGGTATCTCATTCTATACTTCTCTTGTGTCTAACCTTGGTGATTTCAACTTACTTATATCTTGCTTATTATGTTTATTTAATATTAATAAAGTCTTTGCCTATAGAACATGTTAAGGCTTTTGAATCTAGCAAGGCAAGATTTTATAATTTTTGGATCTTAAATAAAATTTTACTATAAAATAAGAAAAAAGATTTGAAAAAAAAAAAAAAAAAAAAAAAAAAAAAAAAAAAAACTTTACTAAGCATTGCATAAGATTCTAGCGGCAAGAATCCGTATTGTAGTTGGAAAAACTATTATTTTGACACATTGTCCTTTTTTGTAACCATGCTTTTTATTTTATAATTATGTTGCTGATTTGGATAATATTAAAAAAATATATTTAGATTCTCTATAATATAATCCCAAATCTCTTTCATGATGTTGAGCCTTTTCTTGCTAAATTAGACATTTGAAATATATTGTGTTAATTTATATAAGTTAGGATCTTAATAAATAAGCTTTCATAAACTTAGAAGCTCTTGTTATGACTTCACTTATATCTCTTTAATCAAACCTTTGTTCTTGATAGCTTTCAAAGAATTAATTATTGCATGTAATGGCTTCAATAATAAATTACTTTAATGAATCTATTATTGATATTATCAATAAGAAATCTTTAATATTATTTTTTAATCAATATCAAAATTGATTGATAAGGGCTTTGTCATTCTAATCCACATTGCAAGCAAGGTTTTGAAATTTAGCAGCACATATGGTGTTTGAATATGATCCTTACTGTAACAATATAAGTTTAATATTTGCTATTCTTTTTCAATCACTTTTTTAAAAAATGGTTATAAAGACTTTTAAGAATAAATTTGATTCTTAGAATAATTTTAAATATTTTTTTATTAAAGGTTAAAATAAAATAAAATAAAAATATATTCTTTGATAGAAGTGAACATATGAATCTAACTTAAATAAATCCATCAAGATATTAAAAATAATAAAATTTTAGATAGAACTTCACTTGTTGTAGAAATCTTTGAAACTTTGATTTTATTCCATTAAACTTCTTTAGCATACTTATCTTTGCCTCCTTCATACTTTTAGTAGCAAGATTCTTCAAATTTAGTTGCAAACTTTATCTACTTGTTTCTTTTAATTGCACAACTTTTTGGTCTAGACTTTGAATTTCATTGTTGATTGCTTCTACATATATCAAGAAAAATAAGAAAGTTGTTGACAAGAGTGAAGAAGGCTTCATTCTTGCATCCATATATACTATCTAACTAAGAGCTTTGTTGCAATATTCTATAGAACCTCTAACATGTGTCCAACTTACAAGACACTTCACTAACTTACAAAATAAATTTTTGATATGTGTGCCACACGGTTAACTTGTTCCACAAGCTATTAATTGGTTCAATACATTGCTAACTTATTAGCTAAGTTTTTATCTTATCAATTGACTACAAATATGACTTAAGTCAAATATGAGTCAATGAAATTTTTACAAAGCTTCACCATAAGATAATATCAAATCTATCTATATTTATTTTTTATCTAATACTTCTAATCTAAATAAATATGTATGTCTATAATATCAAGATAAAAGTATTTAGAAAAGGTATTTAATATATATATTTTTTAGCTCATAAGAGATATGAAATATAAATCTTGAAAAAAACTTATTTTAACAAATTAATCAATGATTCAAAGCTTATGTTGATATAAAATACTCAAGGTTCTTATAATTTGTATAAACAATCATTTGATTAGAAATTCCTTCCAAATTATAATATTCATCTTAAAATGAATCTAAAATAATAAAAAATCTTTGTTGTGGATCTTACAATTGATCTTGATTGCTAATAACTTTCTTAAATAAAATACTATAAGGTGAAGTTTGTCATTTACTCCCATTCATAACAATATTGCATCTACGACAAATTTTTTTTTTTTTTTCATAAAAAATTCTTCAAAAAAGATTGATACAATATAAAACTAGTATAGAGTAAAATTTATCTTTAAAGCTTAAAATAATACTTTAGCTTCTTTATTCCACTTGAGTTATTTTTTTAGAAGTCAAACATTTAAGTAGAGCTACAACTTGAGAATAGTTTTTAATAAAAATCCAATAGAAATTTACAAATATCAAAAAGCATTGGATATCTCCTTCTATGCTTATAATCTCTTAATCCATATTAGTCTAAATTTTCTTAGGATTGATTATAAGGCCATTATTTGAAATAATGTATCATAAAAATTTAAATTAAATAATAAAAAATATATAATTTTTTATCTTAGCTTATAATCCTACATCTTTAAATTTTTGTAACATACAAAAAATAAGAATTTTTTTTCTTTTGTATTTTTATAATAGAATAAAATATTATCTAGATTAAAAAAAAAATCATCTAGAAATTCTTAAACAACTTTATTTATTAGATATTGAAAAATAAAAATTACATTTGTGAGTCTAAAAAGCATAAAATTATATTTTTAATGTCTATATTTAATTTAAAATATAGTCTTTTATTCATCTCTTTTTTAATGCATGAAAAATTGAATGTTCTTCATAGATTTATTATTATAAAGAACTTTATTTGATTCAATTGATTAAGAAGTCTCGATTTGAAAGACTTATATTCTTTATTTTTTATAGTAATCTTGTTGAACCTTTAATAATCCATACACATTTGCAATGATCCATATTTTTCTTTACAAATAAGAAACGAACTTCTATTAAAGTTTTTGAAAGACATATGAAATTCTTATCTAAGTTCTCACCAATATATTCTTTGAGTTTAGGCAATTCATTTTTGTTATAAAATGTAGATTGATTTAAATGGTAATTGAATTCCTTTTTGAAGGTCAATTAACCAATCATTAGAATAATATTTTAGAAGATTATATGTATTCTTCTTTTCAAATACATCTTAATAATCTTCATATAGACTTAAAATGCTACTTAAAGTCTTTTCACCATTAGAAATAGGTAGAGCATAAATAATAAAATATGTACTTTTTTTTACAGCATGCATAAAAGTTCTTTCATTTATAATTTAAAATTTTATTGTATTAAACTTATGACTTTTTACTTGGATAAAAAAAAAATTAATTATATTTTAGAAAAAATCAAGACTACAAGAAATCTAATCTCAATGAAGGTTTTAGCCATACTAAATCTAAAAAGAACAAGAGCTAATTATATTAAATATCTCCTAGCTATTATGACTATTTTTTACTAAATTTACAAAAAAATTATGAATATTATCTTCAAAACATAATAAACAACCATCTATGGCTTTTATATATATAACTTTAGTTTTTTTTTTATTAAAGGTATTCTATGTCTTTTCACAAACTCTTTATTTAAAAAATAAGATAAGACTCCTAAATCTAATAAAAAGAAGGATTTGTAATTTTTAAGTCCTACACAAATATTTATTTTAAAACAAAGAGAGGGTTGTGAAGAGAGAATTGAACCTTCACTAGGTATTGTAGAAGATTTCAATTGCATGGTCTTTAATGTAGCTAGATAAATTTGTTTTTCAACATATATTTTTTTTCAATAGCCACACTTATCATTTTATGGTTGTATTTTTTTTTTTTTAACAATATTGAGTAATGTGCTTAGATTCTGCATAATATAAGTATTATTCTTTATAACAACAATGAGTCTTTTCTTACTTAATAAAGATTTAGTTGCAACATAAATTGTATCATATTCCTTATGTAAACCAATTCTTGGTTTTTTAACACTTAAACAATGTTCCACCACAAGAAAAGTAATATAATTTGGTATAGATGTTGAAGCAGTTCCTATCATCTCTATATCTCAACTTCTTACCAATTTTGTTATTTTTTGTGGTAATAAATTGAGTTGATACATTACAAGTATTTACTCCTTCATTTGTTCTTGTATTTATATCATTGCACTTTTCATTTCAATAAGCTTTATTATAACAACATAATGGAAATGAAGACATCTAATATCAGTTAAGACAAGTAGATGAGAAGACTTAAGAATAAAAATATTTTAGGAACAATATCAATTTGAAAGTAGATAATCCATTATTTTTTATACATTTACATCTTATAAATAAAAAAATAATAATCTTCTTTTAATTAAAAAAGACAAATTTTTGATATTATCAATATACTTTAATTAATATTCCAAAGACAAAGACTCAAAGAATATAAATAAATGACATGTTTTTCAAAGTAAGTTGATATACATGTAAATATATATACTCAAGAAGAAACTAGAATGGCTATAGTCAAAAACTAAGAAATTAGAGATTCTTGAATTTAGATTAGAAATAAGAAAGAAATTGATAAGAGTGAAGGAAGTCTCATTCTTACTTCTATATATGTTATTGAATAAGAAATTATAACATGACATTTTATAATATCTCCAATATATGTTTAATCTACATGACATATGACTAATTTACAAGACAAGTTTTTTATATAAGCACCATATATCCAACTTGTACCACAAGTAACCAACTTATTAGCCAACTTGTCAAACAATCACATATACATACAAGAACAAATCCACATTTATGCAACTTCTAAGAAACTTTTTTAAAAGATATTATCAATTTCATCTACTTTTACAAATTTCTACATACACATATTAATTAAGCAATTATTGAAGTAAATATGTATGTCCATAATAATTTCAATGCACATTCTTTACTACCATAATTGAACTCTATACTTGTATAAATAAATAAATGTTATAATATACATTATAAAACATTCAAATAAAGAATTTTCTATCTTTCTATTGTCTTCAAAATTTAAGAACATAACCTTTTACAAAATTGTCACACTTTTCTGAGATAGAAATATTATATCAAATATTATAATTACATAATAAATAGGTTTCTTGCAACCCAATATGTTTCCAATTATATTTTCAAAATGATATTGGAGCTGAGGCATTGTGTCTATTCGGCTCTGAAACCACCAAATAATGTAAAATACTCGCCATCCATAATTTCTGAAAAGCTTTTGAATTTTTTTTGTTTCATTTTGGAAGCTGAGTTTCCCGCATCCTTGATGCGAAATATCTTCTCACCAATTTCGGCCAACCTCAAAATTTCCAACTAATTTTATTTTCACATTCACCTGCAAAACCTGATGCAAAACCTGAGGTATTATACGGACAATAGCTGTTGTCACTCAGCCGATTACTCAGAGGATGGCAAAGATGAATGCTACCCCATAAAATGGTAACTCTCAGCTTCGGACCTGTTGGCATTCTCCTTCAAAAATTGTGAACACAATGATCACAAAACGAAAGTGGGAGTGAACGAAACGGCCCCTTTCTTTTCTACTCCCAAGATGATTCTTCGTTGTTTGTAAACTTCATTGCCTGGTTTTTAAGGCTCATGATGTCATATGGAATGAGATACCCGTTTTTCTACTAAGCTGGTCGATCATGGCAACCTTGCACCAACGGACTGTTGCGTAATTACAGCTGGCTCCAACGGTGACATATCATAGGACCGCCTGAATTCTGCGTCATTAATAAGAGGGCCATCATTGGTATCAATAATCCTACCTTGAATCAAGTCCTGGTTTCTGGAAGCCCCATTTGGGACGGACATCTCAGAGAACACTGCATTAGAGGAGTCCTTAAACGTGCTTTTGGTACCAGAATGCCTCGGACTCTTTCCAACCCTTGTGCTTTCCATCTCCTGTCCAGTAGGAACGAATGTACGAGTACGATAACGCTTCGGGGCGCCCTCGGGATCGTTGCTGTAGAGCACATAGTCGTGATAGGCAGGGGCAAACTGCAATACGATTCCGTGTGTCATGAACAGGAAGCTCTATCATGGTCATTTCAATCAATAAAACGATGTGAACTCACAAAAGGTAAAGGTTTGCTCGACAGTGTTGTACTTTAAGCTTTGGAACAAAACTCCTGTAAAGGGATAGAGCAAGAATAGCGAGGAGAGCAACTGCTGATGCCACAACCGTTTGAAGTTTCTTAAATCTTAGCAAAGGCCTGAGCAAGTACCTGGTGCATTGTATCATAGACCACATCAATAAGGTTAAGAACATGAAAAAGGCTTCGCCATGGACTGGTTTCCACGCCTCCAACATTGGCCTCTGCATAATCCTTGTAGGGAAAGGCATAAAGATGAGCAAAAGCTGCAAGGAGCATCTCCCCGCAGATCAAGACATTTTGATAGTCAGCGGCCTCCTGGGGAGTATCGACAGATCCAGCCTCCGAGAAAATAAATATTACGACACCCTGCCACGAAATGTCCATTCATCACAATAAGTTCAATAAAAGTAAAAACAACAATCTACCACGTCACGATATCTTAATAAAAGGACTGTTAAGAAGATAAAAACTCTCGTAAAGCTCTGACAAATTTGGGGAAGGATTTCAACGTGTAAGCTGTTCATCCACACAGAATAAAAAACACGGTAGAACAGAAAACAAAAGATCTAAAAGGAGATGAATCTATATATATATATATATATATATATATGACTGAGGATGGAATACGAAAAATGTACTCACTTGCCAGTACGTAAGAAAAACCACAGACTTCACGAGAATGAATTTGGGCAAGGCTTTATACGGCGTCAGGAGTTCCCTGCAGGCTACGTAAAAGAGTACCAGTGCTCCAAGAGCACAAGAATAAGCTACAGTGTAAATCAAAGTGATATACAAATAGCCCCCTCCAACATAAAAGCTTCCTTCCTCGTATTTGTTGTTGTAGTAAAGAATAATTGCTGCCAGAACCAGCAATGGCTTCAAGATGACAAACTGTAGGACTCCTTGCTTACACCTTCGAATAAAGCGCCTGCAACATCAATTAAATTTAATGATGCGTCTGCCAACCGAAACGCCAATAACCACAGTAGTCAGAGTGTGCGTTCTTTAACAGACTCGAAGTAAAAACTAACCCATCAAGTGGAATGGCTGCACAACAGCAAGTCATGAGATGCCAAGATGGCTGCAATGCATTTCCGGATAGCCTAGTTACAACTTCCCCTGGTCCACCAACCCAAGCAAGACAAAGGGACAGAAAATTGTAGATAACCAATGCCTCGTATCTGCACACAAAGGTCACCACGTGCTTGTTTTAAAATTTACAGAGAACATTTTGGTTCAGACAGCTGCCCATCACCACAACGTCTGTAATATAATGTAACAAATTCGTCCTATAATTGACCAATATTTCTACTGATATGGAAGGGACAGCCCAGATCATGACATGCTTAAGAAAAAATAAGAGCTGCTAACAACGCAAGGTACAGCACAAGTTACAGATCTATTGAGAAGGTTGATCCAGTTATCTACATCAAATTCCCACAGTACCTCTAGCATTGCACAAAGTTAAGTACTCTCCAAGAATAGAAAGGTGTGACTGGAATACTTACATTCCAATAATTGAATTGAAGATTATCGCATGCTTGGGCAGAACCAGAGCTAAAAATGACATTACAGAGTAGACCTGCACACCATCAATTGAAACCAAGTGAATGCAAGAAGGTCTCACTGCCGGTTGGTGGAACCTCAATCGCAAGTGTAATTCTGAACAGCTCATCTCTTCCTGACAAAAACTATGTACACCAGAACCTCTAGTCAAAACAGGGACGAGCGAAAGAAACTACGCGGGTGAAGAACCTATTGTTGAAGACTAACAATTTGAGAGTCGTAGTGCAAAACTTTACATTCGGCCATCTACACCAATCGGAGCATCATCGCTATGCGCCAATTAAAACCACAATAATTCAAAATACCGAATTTGAAATTTAATTTATGAGCACAGGGGTCGTCCCAAAAGTTCATTGCACCTACACCCTACGCGAGCCACTTCTATAGGTTTAGCTCAAGCTAAAGAATTACTTTACCAAAACTCCAAAGTCGAGCTCAGAATAAGAATAATAATAATAAATAAATAAATAAATAAAAACATGCAATAAATCAGTTCGACAACGCTCGTGAAAGACGTACAGGCACCATGAGAATAATCCGAACAGTGTAGCGCTGGTAGATAGGTTCCGTGTAGTTGCACAGGTGACGATAGACGTGCCATAGCGCCACTCCGCATGCCCCCACAGAGCACAAGAACGCAAACAACACCCCTAAAAACGCCGCCATGGTCAACATACAGCAACCGACACGCCAAAATTACACTCTCCACCAACGACGCCCATCAATGAGACCCTTCAACCTCGGATCCCGGCATCGCCTTCAATCGACCCATCACCAAAGGAACACAAGCCCCTTCCCACTCCAAACACCTACTTCCCACAACGCCCTCCGTCATCGAAACAAGCATTGCATGTGGAAGAGAAAAGACGAGAGCCATTGTACCGTAATGCACACTCCACCAACCTCCATGCGTAACGGCTGAGCTTCTTCTTGTGCATCAGACAAACCAACGTGGCATATGCGGCACTCCCAACAATAGGAAGAAGCAAGATCTTGGAAAGATTCTCGATTTGGATTGATAATGCCGGGAGCGGCACTGGCAGTAAAGAGTTGGGGGGAAAGGGGTTACGCGGAATCTACCGCTCCGCGGAAAAAATTGGCACAGACCCAACAACCCTGCAGTTTAAACCGATGCCCCACCACCATGATGATCATTCACAGTCTTGCGGTGCGGTGGGTGGCTGGGAGATTGCTTGAGCCTTCCTTCCTTGTCGCTCTCCTCCGGGGTCTGTCTGGCACACGACGACGACAATGGGGCTGCTGACGCTGGCGCTCCGTCTGCCGCTGCAGCTGCCGCCGACGAGCGTTTCCGCGGTAATGCGTTACCCCGACTATACGACCACGGCCTTAGGTGATGTGGCGGTCGCAAGCAGGCGTCACCGGGGTAGCGGGTCTGAAGGTGATGAACGGCGATGGCGTGGTATCATCCATCTTGTTACACTTTAAGCACTCTTTATTCTAATTGATATTACTTTTTTGTTTTTTATTTAATTTTTTATGATTACTTTTTAAAATGAAAATATCTGGTGGTCATTGGACTTGGTTGGATCTCAACCTTGAATTGATGCAATATGTTTCAAATTAGTCTAATGTTTCTAATTTTGCTAATTTCATACTACTAATTTTGAAATTTATTGAAACAATGTCAATAAAAATTCATGCCAATTTTCGATAGTTTTTAAATATCTATTTTTTATTTTTAAAGGTGTCTCATTGAAGGTTTTTATTAGAATATTTTTTAATTATATCAAATACAATATAATAGGTTTTTTCTTTCAATAAAGTATCTTGCATGAAAAATAGATAAATAAATAAACAAACAATGTCTAAAATTTCTATAGTATTCTAATGTTTAATTACAAAGGAAATCTCTCAATTTTTCTTATCGTAGATTATGTAAGATCAATTTTAATTTTACTACTTTGGTAAAAACCAACTTCTTACAAAAATAATTTTTTAAAAACTTTTTAATTTAAATAATATATTATTTTATATTTAAATAATTATTTTTATAATTAATAAGCTAATTAAAATATTTTTATAATATTAAAAAAAAAAAAAAAAAAAAAAAAAAAAAAAACTCTCATTCTAGACTTTCATATAAATCTTGATAAACTTTAATATCCAAAAACATAAAAAAATTAATTGGATACATGCTATTATTATTAAAATATCACCTAATTAATCTTAGATATTTTTTAAAAATAGTAAAAAGTCATATCTTCATTGATGTGATTATTTTTTTAAATAAGTATGAATTTAAATTATATTTTGTGTAATATAGAAGGGCCAAGAGATTTTTTACTTGCTTCATGCCAAAATATTCTTAAAAACTCATGATCCCTCTTAATTTTTATCATTTCTAGAAGTACGGTTTCTTAAAAATCAATTTTTATAAGATTTAGCTTCTTTAATCTTATCTAAATTAAAAATAGATTAAAAGAACTTAAATCATAAAGAAGATATGAAATTTCAATACCATAATATTTTAGCAACTATATATATAATTTTTATACTATAAGAATATTTATTTTATTATTTCTTTATATGTATTCAAATTTTTATGATTTTTTTAATAACTTCTTGTACTTCTATACTATCTAATTATTACTTAAAATCAAGTTACTTTGGATTGATGTTATATATATATATATATATATATATATATATATATATATATATAAGAACTTGTTAAATCTACACCTTAATTTTATTAAAGCTACATCCTTCAAATTGTGTGATGATTAATTTAGTCCAATGTCACTCTACCTCATACTCTATCATCATCATCTATGAGTGCAAATGGTAGTCCATCCTTTGTATCCGAGCATCTCCTCTACCTAAGACACTACTTGCTCAAAAATGCGGAAGACAACCCTATTGAAGCTGAATTCTAATTTTGCCTTAGATTTTGTTGCTTATTATTCTTGTGTTGAAAAAACTAAGCCTAATTAATATTTTTTTATTTAAGTTTATGAAGAAATCTCATAATTGTATAATATATTTCATGTTCTTTATGACATTTAATAAAAAAATATTGACCAAACTTAATTTTGTCTACATAAAAGCAAAAAATAATGAAAGCCAAGCCAAAATTAAAATTTACTTTTGACAAGATTGTCCTTCATGTTTTTGAGCCTATAGTATCTTGAGAAGAAGAAATGCTCAAGCATAAAAGATAAGCTATCCTATACACTTATGGAAATTAATCATGGAGTGTGGAGTGGTATCATGAACATATGTATTTATTTCAATAATTATCTATATGATTAGATAAAAATAAGTAAAATTAGGTTAATTTTATAATATCTTGAAAAGCTTTTGAAAATCTTCATAAATGCTACTTTGACTTTATACATATTTATAATTAATTGATAGGTTGAAAATCTAATCAATAAGTTAGGTGTGTATCAACTATTCTTGTCGTTAGAAAAATTCCCTTGAAAAAATACTAGGATTCTAATTTCTATTGATTGTTCTACTACCATGTAACTTCAGAACATGCATAATATTCCATAAATAAGATTCTTTTGTAACTTTTTTTTTCTTCATATCAACAATTTTTTTTTTAATTAAACATTTATAAAACAAAAATATGAGAGAGCAAAACCTCTTTAGAAAGTCCTTATATCTCCCTTCTAAGAGAATTGCCACCCTTTCAAAATCCTAAATCCTATTCCAAATCTTAAATCCTAAATCTTACTTCCAAATCCTTATTATTTTATTCTTATTTAAATTTTTATATTTTATAAAAAAAAATTAAATTGATGATTCTGAAGGATTGATACTATTTCACTTTAAGCCACGACCAACTTGTAGCTTCTTCTTTTTTAAAAGAAGTTATATATCAATCTATTAAGAAGACAAATATATAGAAGGTATAAGCATCACATATTATATTATTATTAAGAGAGATTCTTCAATCTTGCCTATAGACTATAAGTACCCTTATCATCCAACATAAACTTCTAATGTAAGTATTGCAGAGCCAACTATCTAAATATCTTTAATAAATTAATTGAAGATTTTTAAAAAATATTCTTTCCTCGTTTCTCCCATGTGCCACTATATGATTTCAAAGCTAGGACCTCCTAGGCACCATCCAAGCACTTTATCATCCATCTATTTCTATAAGTCTTGAGCTGCCACTTGATGTCTAAAGCCTCAATTCTTCTTCATATAAGCTTGCTACTCAACCTCTTTCTTTTCTTTAAATCTTTACTTTTTATAAATTATAATTTTATATTAAATAAATATTCTAATAATTAATTATCTTAAAACTTATTTTTTCTTTGTACAAATTTAGTTTTATTTTTAATAACTATAATATTTTTTGCTAACATAATAATATTCTAAATATGATTTTTTAATTATTATTTTAATATAATAATTAATTAATTAATTAATTAATTAATTATAATTTTTAATTATTTTAAAAATATTTTATTTAAATAAAAAATACAAACTAAGAATTAATATATTTTATAGTTCTTATCTAGTTTTTATATATTATATACAAATATGATACAACATCCACATTCTCCAATCTTGCATATCCTCCAATATGTACTATTAATCTTTTTCACTTTTGTCAAATTTTATCAATATTATTGTTAGGGACCATATACAAGACAAGGATTCAAAACAAAGAAATGGAGTTAATTCGACATTGAAACAATAATTGCATTTAAAGTAAGAAGGTCCAGGCTAGACCACAAGAAGTGAGTTGTCAAGACTGAGGACCCCCTTAGCCTGGACTCCTATATATATTACGTCGTAAGAAGCTTCTTGAGAAGTTTTCATAAGGCTTGAGAACAAAGCAAGCCTAAGATCGTTCTTTGGGAACTTCCTAAATCATCTAAAGTCTCTTAGAACCTTCAAAGATCTCCTATGACCTTTTAAAACTTTTTTAGAATCTACTAGAATCTTTTGAAATCTTTTGGAACCTTCTTAGAACTTATTGGAACCTTTTAAAACCTTCTTAGAATCTTTTAGAACCTCATAAAACCTTCTCGAACCTTCTTCAGTTGTATGTCCGTGGCATCACTTCTTCCTTTAATGTTGAGGTCTTTGAGAAGTAAGGTTGTTGCAAGTCAATATATGTGCAAGAAGTTGAAGATCTGTTACATGATATCTACTGTATATTCCAGTTGTTTTTTACGAGGCAAATGGTTCATAGGCCCTTATAGCCATTGATAGTGCTCCAAGCCTTCTACTTGTGAGCAAGTATGAACTTTGGTATCTTCGTTATAGAATTGTCCTACAAACACTCATTTTGATTGTCCTTCATAAGCAAGTTCTACCTCAAATATAATTATCAATGACTTATTACTAGGTATCATTTGTCATCTTCTTGATTCAAGCAACTCTTCATGTTAGGATCATCTCCACAAGATACTAAGTTGAGATGGTATAATCGGCAAGGTGTCTATCTCTTGACCATTCATATCACATAAAATAGACAAGATTAAAAAAATAAAAATAAACTATAATCGTGAACTCAAACTATTGACTTATATTATTCTAAATATTTGAAAAAATTCTCTTCAGAGATTGCTTCTTCTCCTTCTTTATGAGGCCAAGAACTAAAAAACTTCATAGTGAAGCTATCTTATCAAGCTACTATTCTTCATTTTTTTGCTTTTGATCTAGATTTATGTCGTTGATGGAACTTTTGAACCTTCATTTCTATATTTACAAGGTTGCCAGCTAGTTTCCACATGCAGTTGTTGATATCATATCCATGCCAATAGACCAGATATTCAATTCTTCAATATCTTATCCTTGAATCTAATATCTTTTCTACCTCAAATTCAACATGATTATTGATTTCAACCATCAAAAGTGGTGGTTGTCTTTGACTTGGTATGTTCGATTCTTTATACTTTTCAAAAGTGAAATATAAAAGATTGGATGAATCTTCATAGATGAAGGTAACTCTAAGCAATAAGTTACGTTATTGATTTGTTTTTAAATCATAAATTGTCCCAATCTTCGTAGTCTAATTTATCACATGGCTTGTTGGTTTTTATTTTGTACCAAAGAAGCTACATTTTATCACCAACTTAAAATGGAGGATTTTTCTTCTTCAATTCATCCGCCAATTGCTTATAACATTGTTGAATTCTTTTTAGATGAGTCTTAAAGATTAGTTGAAGTTCAGCCATTTTTGA